TCGTAACAATGGAAAGAAGAAAGAATGCATGCTCACTAATCTCGGTAACTTCTCTCTGAGGAAGTTAACGTGTGCAATATCAAGTTGAATGATATAGAGATATGTGAGAAGAACTCAACATACAGTCGGCATTATTAACGCGAATCCAGTCAGGCCCCCTTTTTTTTTTCTTTTTTTTTTTGGCTTTGGAAGTTTTTGAGCATTGAAAGCTAAAGGTTCTAACAGGAGTTGCAGTATCCTGTTTTCACTTCCTTTGTGTGTTTTTTTTTTTCCTCTGAATGGGGGACAGCTTAAAATTCTGACAAGAGAAAAACACTTTTCATCTCACATGTGCAGGAAGGTCCCCGATTTCCCATCTCTCCACAAAAAAATTGAAGAAGCTTTGGCGGCGGCGGGGGCAAAATTTCCATCTACTAAGGTTTGTGTACAGTATTGCCTAAATCCCAAAGTGTCACATCTGTCCTCGAGTTCTTTAAGGATGAGAAATTTGATGAATCGTATCAATGCTATCCATTTCAGTCTTCCAGTGAAATTCCATCTTGCTGGATGGGGGAACAGGTCTGATGCACACAGAAAAAAAACAGGAGAAAAGAGCAGTCACTGATGTTGTGTGGAAGCCTTCAAAATTTACTAATTTAGTGATTGGCTATTCAGTGTGTGTGACCATCCTGTCTGAGTGTTGGTTGGCTTGGTTGTGTGCGTGACCGTGCCTGTCTGAGTGCTGGTTGGCATGAGTATGTGTGTGGCCCGTCAGGGCACTTGCTCGTTTGGTGGGCCCTCAGGGCCGGTACTTACCTGTGGCTGTGACATTGAGGGGTTGCAGAGGGGAAAAACAATCAAGTAGCGGGTAGGCCGGTACCGCACCTGGAAGGGGTAGATGTGCAGGTACCGGAGGTTGAGCAGAAGAAGACAAAAGTGGCATTTTTAGAGGCCCAGTAGTTGTAGGTAGGTCTAGGCGGATATCGGTCCAACCAGTCTGGGTCCAGGGCCTGTAACGGGCAATATCAGAGTCTGCAATGATGTTTCCCTCCGAAAGGGGGGAGGTGCCGGTTGCTTGGGAGGCCAAGCGGCCTGGAAGTCACCGCCCAAGAGGCAAAGCAGGCCGCTATATCTTCTGGCCGGGCGGAGAGTCCGGCCTCTTTTTCGGTGTGCAAGTTTGGCGACACACTGGTGGAGCGCTGGCTGGAGCAGCGCTAAGCTGGAGCAGCGCTGCTGGGGAGGAAGGAGAAGGACACGAGGGAGGAAGAAGGAGGAAGAAGAAAGGAAGGGGGAGG